TATACAAGATTTGACGTACTATTCAACAACATTTAAAAAAAATACCCTGTTTTGAAGAGATGTCGAATGTTACATCATGTAACTACAAAATAAATTCATAAAAAATCGATGCCCACATATTAAAAAGCAAAAAACCCTTTTTTTTATAGTTAGACATTCTAGCATCAATCTTCTCCTCCGATCCTCGTAGTTAGCAATCGACACAGCCCATTGACACTCACACATGGATTTCATTTTGAGGGATTTCAAGATTGGTGTAAGAATGAATGAGGCCTCCGGGCAAGCATCCTTTCTTTCGTCACTTCCGTTGAGGCGACCCATTTTGCGCCGAACCATGGCTCACCTTACCGCACTCAGAATATATCGTGTATGTACAAAATTATGAAAAGTAAACTTTTACTCCTTAGAAAAAGGGTTTAAAATAACCAGTCAGCCTTGGAGGGTCGTTGTAACTTATCAGTAAGTTAAAAGTCAGTGACACATTATCACATGACAGTAATATACGCTTCGAGAGTGATTTTCGAGGACAAATCGGAAGGGATATTATTTTGATTTATAAAACCACTTAATGTTTTTCTGTTACTTTCATTTTTGTACGAAGTCTTCCTTGAACTTCCAAAATATGATTTCAAAAAAACTGGGAAGGAGTCACGGATCGTTCATAAAATGTTCAACATTTTAGCAACACATAAATTTTCTGTTCAATTAATTTCAGTAACGTCAAAGGGAAGTGATTTGCCATATGAGAAAAATTCTCATCCATTAATCAAAGCCAAATTGTAATGTTTCATAGATAATTACATATTATTGTATTTTAAGAAGTATGTAATATATTTTAATTACATTTATAGAACTGCCCACTAATGGTGTAGGTGATGTGTCAAATTAAAGATGGCTGCTAATGAATTAAAAAGCAAACGGTATGTTGGCAGTGATGAGAGACGGTAACACCTATGTCACTAGTCGTTGGGTAAGTGTGATGTAATATGTTTTTCTTTTAATATTAGATAGATGGGTAGGTTTATGAGATACAAGTTAATTATTCTAACTGATTTTTCTTTTACTTATTTAAGAAACTAACAGCCCCACACTAGGATTTTCTCCTATGTCGTGGGTACGTTTACAAACATACGATTTCACATACACATCACACTCAGACCCGGAAAAACAATTTACGGACCCGGAACAACAGTCAAAGAATTGTTCCGTGCGGGAATCGAACCCGCGACACGTTGCACGGCAGCCACTTGTCCCAGCCACCGCGCCAATAATGCAGTCATAAACCGTCCTAATCAGTCATCAACCATCAGTCATGGTGGATATCCTGCCACAAGCACGAAGCGATTCGTCCCCAGTTGTTTTTTTATTCGAACCACTAAGAAGGGAATATTTTGGTGAAGTCTGTGTTTCTAGATGAGTATAACATGGGAATCTTCAATGCCCTAGCGATTTACATGTTACTTTAAAAGTTACGCTTCATCGTAGATATCCTGCCTATACGCACCAATCGATTCACCTCCAGTTTTTTTAAACGAATTACTTAGGAGGATATTTTTTGCTGGAGCCTAAGTTTTCCGAAGGGTATAGTAAAACATGGGTGCCTTTAAGGGCCTAGCGAAGAGGTAGCCTATGGGAGGGTGTGCTTCATCGTAAGTCGCATCATCGCTTTCCACCGGGCCAGACACTGGCAGTGACGCAAAAAAAAAGCTAATGACAAACTTTTTTTTACAGTAAACCACCTTTTAATAATGACATAAAAAGTATAAAAACTAAAACCCAACTACGACAAAAACCGACGCTGAAAAAGTATAAAACAAGACTTTCAGAATACTGAAAGGCGGAGTCACACGTTATCAAAGTGCAGGTATGGTAAGTAAATTTTGTGATACATCATATATCCTATAACCAGCGGACAATTAAGACGTTTCTAATGATATATTATATGTCGAATTCTGATAAGTAGTTTAGAAGTTAGGAGGAAACAGATGAACATACATACATACATAGCCTGTCAAAATCATAAACCTCCTTTTGCTTTGCCGTAGTCGGGTAAAAACAGTCCTCTGACCTTTGTTCATTTAACTATTTACCAAGCTTTTCCTTGGTAAACCATTAGATTCCTTATGTAATGGCTGAGCTACTAGAAATACTTTTGATTCTGATCTCATCACCATACAGTAGAAACGATACAACTGTATAAAAAAACTAAACACAACAATAAAAATTCATTAAAATTACTTCATAGTTGACACGGTGGTTATGCAAGCGGTTATCGTGGAGCATATCGCGGATTCGATTTTAGCACGGAACAATACTTTGTGATGCACAACTGTTCTCTGGGCTGAGTGTCATGTTTATGTGAAATTGTATGTTTGTAAATTCACAAACGACACAGGAGATATGCCTAATGCAAGGCAACTTTAAAACAATGGCATTTTTTTATGTAATAGGACGGCAAACTAGCAGGCGGATTACCTTATGGTAAGCAATCAGCGCTACCCATGGACAACCGCAGTAACGGAGGAGATACGACTTTTTGAGGATTAGGGATTTACGTTTTGGGATTGGGGGATCAGAATGATTGGACTTTCGTTAACCTCACTCAAACGGCGAAACATAACGCTATGGTTTTCTCACGCCGATTTCGTGGTATGACTCCGGTTGAGCCGACCCATTCGTGCCGAAGCATGGCTCTCCCACAATTAGAATTAAATGAAGAACCATATTATTTCCAGATGATGAGGTAATATGCTCAATACAAACAGAATATGATTAATTTGTACAACATAATTATCACTATACAGACTAGAACAGTGTGGCTGTTTTATTTATATGTGATAATGGCTGATAAGTGCATCATGCGAGTTTTGCATGCTAATGTACGGTGCATATGAAAATAGGACATGAATAGTTCATCCTTTATTTTACACTGCACTTGGAAACATTTAATAATTACTTAAACCATTCCTTGGTCACGATTTTGTTCCGAAATCTAATCCAATTGATATACGAACTAGGTTAAAAAAGCTATATGTAAATGACTTCGAGTACGCCGTTTACCAAGATCCTTATTAACACTTCAAGTAAAAAACCTAATCCACTCAAAACAAATTATATTTAAAAAAGTATTTAAGAACGAATAAAGATTTAAGAAAAAAAAATGTTAAAATATTTACTAAACACATATTACGGTTTTAAAAGTATAAAAGAAGAAAAAAAATCTTTGAGTATTATTCAATATGAAACAGGCCCATATCGACACAATACTTTACAGATAGATAGATATAGATGTGCATATACCAATAATTGTCACGTTAGTTATGTTAGCAGTACCACTAGAAAGAAACATATTGCCAAACAATTTTCTACCTGAGGTATTAAAGTTCATAATTTAGGAATACACAGTGCGATTAGAAGTGTCCTATGTACATATTATTCCAAACTAGAATCTATATCTGTATCTAACAAAAATTATTCAGATCTGTTTAGTATTTTTTACATGTAAGACTATCAAATATACATACATCCATCCTTCCGTCCTTATAAACTATAGCATTTATATCTTATGTAGGATTTTTCGATTGTAAAATACACACAAAATTATATTCCTAAACAGCATTTAAAGAATCCAATGAAACCTAAAACCTTTAAATGAAAAAGCCATATCCAAATCCAAACTAATATTATAAATGCGAAAGTAACTCTGTATATCTGTTTTTTCTTCACGCTTAAACTGAACCTATTCGTGTGAAATTTGGTAAAGACATAGTGAAGAACTCGAAAAAGGACATAGGATAGTTTTTTAACCAAAAATCTGCAGGAAGTTACTATTCCACGCGAACAAAATCGCGGGCAAAAGCTATTAGTAAAATAAAAGAAACAAGCTAAGAAATTAGGATTTAATGAAGTTAGTAATAACATTTAAATTTAAATTATGCAAGAATGTGGATGCGCATGAGTGTATTCTGATAGTTGTCGACCCGTGTTTAGCTTACCTACTTAGATAAGGAGGTTACCTTTAATACCTAGATAGGATTTAAATAGATTTCAATACTATATTATTGCTTATTAGAACTAAGAGAATGCATCATACATATGTATCTAACCTCCGAATTTATTTCGGCGTTTCTTTTCAGAGTAGACAGTCAAAAAGTAAATTCTCATTATTTACAACATTAATTTAGGTGAGACGAAAGATTTTACGACTAACGCCTCAAAAAAGTGATGTTTTATAGCCTTTTTGAAAAAAGAAACATCTTGTCTATCTAATATCTCGATTTTCTATTCAGCAGATAGCTATGAAGGTAATTTATAATTTCTTTTATGTAAATAGTATCTATTTCAATGTTTAATTTTTTTTTCTAAAAGTAACTAGAATGCAAAGAGGTTATCGAAATAAGAATGTATATTTATATTTAAATATGTTTGCAATTTGCGTAATTATATCATTGAATGTCTACGTCTTTGCATGATGTATAGTACTCTGATCAAAATACTTTTTGAAGTAGGTATTAATCCTCTTTCGAACTCAATTTCCCGATATACATACATAGGTATTGCTCATCTGCCAAAAACACATCTACTAAAATGTTGACGATAAGAAACATTTCAAACACATTACCACCTATTTTCCTTCGGCAACAAAAATCGTAAAAAATTCACCATAACTCAATTTATATCTGGCAAACCTTCGTCTATAGATAGATTTATTATAAAGCAATAAATACTCGTGTTGGCATATTTATTTACGTATCAGCTCAGTTAGTATACCTACAAATAGCTAGGTATATGGCGAGAAATTATCGCTGCACAGATACGCGAGTTTACGCATCCTACCCGCTTATTACATAAACTAAAAAATCAAAACAATAAGTTTAGAAATGATCTTAAAAAGAATAACGTATAGTTGAAGAAAGTTGTGCCATTTTTATTTCAAAACTAGGAGCAAATAAGGTCAATGATCCCACATCAATATTAAAAATAAAACCAAAAATACTCACTTCTCGTCCGCCATTGTTGTATAATTGCACTTTTTCTAGTAAATAAAAGTATCTGTACACAGTATCACAGGGAATAATTTCACTTATAAATTACTATCACATAATTTGTTTAAAACAACTTAAAGGCACTTGATTCGAGCTAAGTTTCGACTGTTTTGCCGCGCATTTTATTATATAATCTATGGACGCGTGCGCGCTGCCCGGCGTTTGCGCGCGAACTGATGCGAAATGAGTTTTTCCTGCGATTTATCACTATTTTCTCCGCGAGACAAAGCTCTGTGGTTGAGAAAATATCTTTAATTAACCTGACAGAAGCGAACAGAAGCCTTTGTGTACTTCAAGAACACAGCAAATAAACAACAAATAATATTTCATTTGACATTTTATCTAAACAAGAATACTACGTAAGTCATCTTGCTTACCTATTTACATATGATTTTAAACTTGATTTTCTTCAAAGGTAAATTATTACTATGAAGGATACCTTGATAAAGTTTAATGTCATTGTCAACTAGCAAATCGTTGCCAATGAGATTGTAATTTTAGATGTAAGTTATAATTAGACACGTTCAGTCATTCACTCTTGGATAATATGTACAATCAACATACCTATACAAATAATCCATTGCTGTTGACCAACATAATAATGTACATTTGTCTTAGCCCTTCGCCAATTTCACTGAAAAAGTATTAATGGTGACTAGGGATACGTCACAGAGGCTCTGACGTGTTTCTCAATAAGTAGTCGCGTTGCTACGGCGTAGCACGTCGAACCTTGACCGTAGCACCTACGAATTATTGAAAACTTGTTGCCCGTAGCCATTCATAAAATTACTTACAGAAGGTTCTATATTTTATTTAGTTCAATATTACTAATTTGGTTTTATAGTTATGTAATTTAGTTATATTTCTAATATCGTTTTCTTTTAATAAGTTGCGAGAATTCTCCATATAATGAAAATCAATAAATAGGTTTTCAATTTACTGATATCTAAATAATAACCACTTTAAAATAAACTATTCATTTTAATGTATCCACATTTGTCATTGCCAATCATTCAAGGCATTTAAAGTGCAGCCTATAATAGTTTCGTTTGCCTCGAAATGATGGCCATTAGGTAATAAAGTTTACCATGTAAGTACAAACGACTTAGATGTCTAGGTATACGTTTTACTCTTAATTACTATTTATACAATTTCTTTGGGTTTTTTCGTTGCGTCAAAATTCGTCAAAAAGATTTTTCTTATAATACGTGCGTTTAGAAACATACAATTTCACATACACATCACACCCAGACCCGAAACAACAATTTGTGGATCACACAAAGTGTTGTTCCGTGCGGAATTCGAACCCGCGACACGTCGCACGGCAGTCAGTTGCCTAGCCATCGCGCCAACCGTGCAGTCAGTAATAGAATGTTAGTAAAGTAAAAAGGCACAAGCAAAATATAAGTATATTTTTGCTATCATGTATCGAATTATAGCTTAGTTATTTCTTAGTTACGAAAAGCTTGCAATGCTCCTGTGACTCGTCTGGTGTTGTCCACTTATCATCTGGTGATTCGTGTCAGTGTGCTAGTTTGCTGCCTATTCCACAAAAAATTAGTTGAAACCTTTATGATGTAATGTTTTTATATTTATTATGTGTATGTCAATGTTATAGAGAAAATTATCATGCCGGGGTTGAGGGTACAAATCCAATAATGTACCTCGCCCCGGCCCAAAGCAGGATAAGGAACAATGTAGTTTTAGTCGGTAAGAGCCTGACAAGGGCAGCAGAAGCCATTGAATAATTTTCGCCCCACAAAAAAAAGGTCGGCATTCATCGATCTCGATGGAAAGGTTCTGGAGTAGCCTACGTCAAGCACTGTAAAGATATTAACTTTAATGACAATTACTATGAAACTCACTCCTTCAATGCAAAAGAGGCGTGACATGACGTTGTGTTATAAGTAAATATAGGTAATATGTCGTGAAATTCATAAATTATTTACTTGCAATATTAATTTACAAGTCTGTGATCAACAATGGTTTGTTTAGTATAGCTACTTATAACGTTTATTCTATGAAGCTCAGACCACAATATAGCAGTCGGAGTTGAGTTTGAAAGAGCAATACTGTACCGAAGCCGGATCGCAGAAGAAAAATGAACAAAGTGGGTTCTAGTTAGTAAGAGTCTGACTCTGCCTTTCGATCCTATGGCTGGAGAAGTAATTTGAAGAATTTCCTCCTCAAAAAACTGATATAATACTGTTTTTTTCCATGAAAAAGGTCTACTGCTCGAACCCCAAAAACGCTCGAGCATACAGGCCGCGAAATTCCAGGTTATTTTCAAATTAAAAGGCCTTTTTTATCGCCTTCATTAAACACTCGATAAACGCATGTGGCACATAGTACCTAATTACTTTGTGTATTCTATTGTAAGTATTATTCTTTACCTAATAACAATGCATTATCCAAAAATTAAGAGACAAGGCATGGCCTCGTCCTGAAGCAGGAGAAGAAACGGGATGGTTTTTAGTCAGTAAGTCTGACACTTCTCGCTCTACGCAAGAAGCCTAAAGGGGATTTCATATAATAATTAGTAAGTAAAAAACGCCTGTATTAATTTTCTTTTCTCATAAACCCTAGCGTTTTAAAACCGTTACGATGCTATCCTATTGTAGTGCAGCCCAGGCCTTACCGAAGCCAGTAACTGCCACTGATCATGTGAGGGTGTAAATCGAGGACGCAAACAAACAATATTTGTTTAGTCGACATGTGACGACACTAGTGAAAATTACTTGTTATCTAAATATATTATTATGTTATTAATGTTACCTAAGTACATATTAAAGTTATTTTTGAGTTCCTAAGAGCATTTAATGGCAAAAGGAGTTTCAAATGACGATACTGAATTAAATATTTCTTAATGTTGAATATGTTACTGATTGATTGATACTAAGACATAGGCCTAAAACTTATAAAAATTGTTATTTCACTAAAAAGAATCGAATAAATTATTTCCAATGTTCAAAAAATGTCTCATAAAAATCTAACTCTAAAACAAGTTTTTATTAAACCTAAGTCTGCCACTATCCCAATCACACAGTTCATAATTATTCACCCAACAACTTCACACATAACAAACTGCATAGATAATAAATACTTCAATAGATCGAGCGTTACGTCAATAAAACTACAACTATACTTGTTACAGTAATTACTTTCCAATCAATACAAAAATATATAGACAACCGCATATCATAGTACACGAAACTCTTAACTGAATTTCAACTTCATTCTTTCGTAACAAGGTTGGAAATGTAATGTACGCATTAACTATATAAGGATACTTTAATATGCTATTTCTAGAATGATTACAGAAAGGCCAAAGCCATGGTCATCTATACATAGAGTTCTGAACACCATGGTTGCTTGTTATTCCATGAATTTATAATGTTTATTCCATTTTGTACGAAAGACGTTTGATTTGCGTATATTTTGGAGACGCGCCAGCTCGATATTGGTGTTTCGACTGTCTGTTAGTTCATAAAACAGATGTTTGGAGATCACTGTTCCTGAAATATTTGATGTTAGGTAACCGCTGAATCACTTTTTTTGTTGTACTGTATCTCATTAATATTTTATTTACAGATTTTAGATGTATAAAATTAATAATAAAAGTACCATAGAATAGATTCTGATTATCTTTGATTAGGTGCTGTTAGTTCTAAGATATAGTTTTGGAAACAATATTAGTGTTGATTCAATCAGCTCGAAGATGGGTGTAGAGTATTTTTCCTAACTAGCTCTTGCCCGCGATTTTGTTAGCGTGGAATAGTGACTTCCTGTAGATTTTTGGTTAAAAACTGTCTTTTCTCGAGTTCCAAACTATATCTGTACCAAATTTGACACAAATAGGTTCTAATGAAGCGAAGAAATGAGAGACAGTAACTTTCGCATTTATAATATTAGTTTGGATTAAACAATAACGGTCTTTACAGTCGATACCTTGCAGTATTTAGCTTTCATTTAATGTCACAACTATCTTTATATATACCACGGCGTGTGACTTCATACTAGTACGAAAGGAATGTATGAATGTATAAATGATAAATCGTCTATAAATAATTAACAGGTATTGGTATAATATATGGATATATATTTTCAAGAATACTGTCTACCTTCCGTATGACAATCGGGATCCTAAAATAACATTAAAAATATATCGATGCACAGCGACCAGCGACTACAATTCTAATTATTTTGAATAATACAATCGAAATAACGACTTAACGACGTGAATTAACTAAGAAAATCACTATTAGATTCAAATTATCCCGTCTCGCGCATTCTGCAAATGTGTGGAGAGTGTCACGCTTCGCCAGCTCATCCGGCGTGATACCACGGCCTCATGGAATATCCGCATGAAAAATCACTTACGTTATGTTTCTTCATGTAAGTGAGGTTATCGGAGTACCAATTCTGGCCCACCCCTATCCTCAAACACCCAATCCCCTGTCAAAAAAAGACTGTTAACTCCGTTGGTGTACCAAATTTTCAATAGATGGCGCTGATTGCATACCAACAGGGAAAACGACTGCTCGTTTGCAAAACAATTGCATAAAAAGAAAATGGTGCTAATGTGTAGGAGTCCCGTTGTTACTTTAAACCAGTACCTAGAGCTCTTCTCAGTGGATTCACGTTAGTTGTTATTTTCGACAGTCCTAACATTGCAATCCAGATCCGCAAATAAATGGGTCGCAACTGGCAACACAACGGTATTTTTATTTGACTATTTTAAATATAGATATCTCGAAATCATTGGATGCGGCTCTCTGGAATGTCAGTCAACTCGAATACTCAACTCATATTATAAATGTCGTTTTGTTTGTTTGTTACGTTAACATACTAACCGTCTGAACTGATTACCTGTAATTAAGATTAGTGTAGATAAGTATGGGTAGTTAAGTCCGCCCCTATTGTATTATCATCTTGTTGATTTTGTGTTGAATTTAAGATTTAAGGTGCAATCCTACTTATAATATCATAAAATTGATAATTGACAATGTTACATGTAACATTACAATGTAACATTAAAATTGACAATGTTTGTTATTGTTTTATGCAAAAATTGAACGACCGATTTGGTTCTTTGGTATGTAGATATCCTAGGGTAACCAACCATGGTACCACCTAGGGCCTAGGTGATACCATGCATTGACACATAGGCTACGGTTTAACCGCAACGCGTGCGAAGCCGGTGGCAGAAGCTAGCCATCGATATCAATCATCGC